TGCTTACCCAGTCATGTGACATTTGTTGCTAAGACGCCATTTTAGGTGGAAAAGGCGTACTGTAGTGTAAACAACCGCAGCATAGCTAAACGAAGGACTAAAGGCCCGTTTACATAGCAGCCTGTCCAAGATAAGTCATTACAGTTAACATAAGCCTGAAAACAGGGGCGGATTTATTGATATTATTAATAAGTATTTAGTGCGCACGATAAACTTATTGCGTGGCCACGAAGTAGTATTTCGTGCTACTTCTGAAATACTACTTCGTGGCCACAATTAAACATTTTTTTTGTCCATGTCATCAGAGGGGCTCCGTAAATATGTTTCCATTAGATATAAAAATATCTGCACAGTAGAGCTAAGGGAAGACTACACAGCAGTTGACTTGGGTTTAATGCACTTGCACTGCAGAAATAAACTGACCTTATAAATAAGTGAAAATTAAACGGACTACACAGATTTAACACACTGATTGGGGGATTTTCTCAACTCAAAATGTGTTAAACTCAAACGATTCTTCCATTCCATCCATTTTCCATCATGTTTATCTAAAGGGGTGCTGGTGCAAAGGGGGTGGGGTCTCCAGCTGTCTACGGGCGAGAGGCGGGGTCCAACCCTGGACAGGTCACCAGTTCATCGCAGGGCAACACAGAGACAAACAACCATTTACGCACACCTGAGGAGGATGTAGATAAGCCAGTTAACCTAACAGTCATGTTTTTGGACTTTGGGAGGAAGCTGGAGTACCCGGAGAGAACCCACGCATGCTAAGGGAGAACATGCAAACTCCATGCAGAAAACTCAAAACCTTCTTACTGCTAGACAGCAGTGCTACCCACTGCTCCACTGAGCAGCCCTCAAGAAAGTTTTCTGTAAGATAAAAATAGTAATCCACAATCTTGATTATGAAATGATACCTGTTAGAATAAATTAGTCTGTTCTTATACATCCTGCATCTTTCTAGGACCAGAAATCAACCGCAGGGTCATCCTAACCCAGTCCAGTACCGGGAACACAGAGTGAGACTGGATAACAGCTAAACTCCCACCTAAGCTATAATCATAGTTGTTTTCTGAGGAAGCTGGAGTAGGAAGAGAAAACATGCAAGCAGCCAGGATTCATCCTCAGTAACTTTTTGCTGTGATGCAACAGTCAGATGCACTTAATTTGTTTTTATATTACCCTTATTGGCCAAGAAACACAAAGTTACATAGGTAATAAAAACAACAACAAATATATTATTTTAAGCCTCAAATAATATTAGTTTAATTAATATTATTTTTTTATTAAAGGAAAAGTCGCTCATATTCAGAATTCAAACTTCTGAAAGTCCTTTAAATCTGAAATGAATCCATCCCGTTCAATAAATGATCAGTGTTTTTAATTCAGAGTAATTTTCATGTGAATGTGCTTTACTGGAGGCATCCATGTTTGTCAAAGAACACTACTGCCANAACTTTTTTTTTGTCATAGCCATAAATAGGTCTACATTGTAAAACTTCTCGCAATCGACTGCAACTCCGCCCACGATCGACTGGTTGGGCACCCCTGATCTACAGCCTCCCAAAAATATACAAGGAAGGGTCTCCTCTAAGGCCCGCCATCAGCAGCTTTAACTCTGTCACTTACATTGCTAACTCACTGGAATTCTCCAACGGGATAAAGAACCTGGCACTGGACACGGATGAGACGGTGGTTTCCTATGATGTCACATCCCATTCTGTTCTGACTCTTGAAGGATGCGGTCGCATTTTCCTGCTGCTATCCAACTCCCTGATCTGTCCCTGCTTTGCTGTGTCTTGTCTTTTCTGAGCTCTCTCTTCATTTCACCCAAACTGGTCAGCTGGTCTCTCAATGCAATTGATCAAAATTTCTCAACTGGAAGTCAAGGAAAAGGTAACCCGTCCTGTCCTGCTGGGACATACTTCATGGGATACACCATGGACTCCTGGAAGGCTTGGATGATGGTGTGTTTTATAATGCTGTCAGGGGAGGATATTAAAGATGTGTGGAGTTTTGGTTTTATGATACTCGGATTTCTCCTGTTTGGATTTGGTGGATACCTGATGGATCTACAATTACAGAGGATTTCAGCTGCAATTTGGGTATTGATCAGGCAGCCGGAAGAGGTTGACGAACTCACAAAGGCTGTGATCAAGCAGGACCAGGAGCTGAGCCGCATGCTGGGTGTGATTGAACACAGGCTGGCTGTAGTGGTTGAACCCAAAGGTGAGATGGGAAAATATCTTGGATGTGCACGCTCGCTTCAAGGCAGAAAAGCCCAACACATTTGGAATATTGGATTGGCCACGTAGAGCCAGCATAAAAAGACTAAAGGCTGAAAATTCCTGTGCAGCTGCGTTCAAAACAATAAGTGTTACTCTGGATTTGACCTCCCCCCCTTTATCTAATCTTCCCTGGATGTTATGGTGAAAGGGCCCAGAAGGACTGCTCCCCCCTCCCCTACCCAGGAACATCTCATAGAGGACGATGGCCTGTGGTCAGCGTTCACGGACATATTGAATGCATTCATCAAGACACACAACTAATGTGTCAAATGTCAGATTGACTCCATGTGACTAAGCCTC